CTATGGTGACTGATATTCTCTTAGATTTTCAACAATAGAATTCTTTAGCTTCTCAGTAGGGAATGTGATGTTATAAAATCTTTCTCATCTTGCTTGGGGATTGTCGATAGTTGGCAAAGCAGATCCTCCTAACTTGGCCTTTTTCTCCTCTTAATTCAACTATCCAACCAACAATTAAGCTCTTTCATATAAAGCATCATATAGTGTTTTATGGCTGGTATCCTTTGGTTTTGACTAATTGAGCTTCCTGTTCGTTGGAGAAAAAGAAAGGGACTTTAGGGGATTTTACATTAAGTAGCAATTCAAAAGGTTTTGGCTTGTGTAATTTATTCTCTGTTTTTACTGCTCTTGTTATGTTGCTAATCTTCCTATGCTTCACTTATGCTTTTTTGGTACATTCAGTGCTTCATATTTATGTAGTTGGACTTGTACTATATTTAGTTGAAGCTTTTCAAAATAGAAAGGGAAAACTTTTGAACTGACTACAGTAATTGTGTCATCGTGTTAAAATGCTTGTGATATAACTGACTATAGATGTTTGTTGCCCTTATACACCCCCCTCCCCCCCCCCCCCCCCCCCAAAAAAAAAAAGAATATCTGTTGCCTCTCAAAGAAAATTCTTTTGACTTCATAGGTAGTCTTTGCTTTATGCTAACCAGACTGTTTTAATGACCTCTTCTGATTTTATTTTTACTTATAGACTAGTTTATGTTTTCACATCTGCCAGGGTATAATCTGGATCTGCTTCATATAGATTCCATTTTTGTTGCCTCTCAAAGAAAATTCTTTCGAATTCATAGGTAGTCTTTGCTTTACGCAAACCAGACCGTTTTAGTTACCTCTTCTGATTTTTTTTTTTGCTTCTTAGACTAGCTAATGTTCTTACATCTACCCTTGTGTAATCTGGAACTGCTTCATATAGATTTCATTTTTTTTGAGAAAGGTATCATTGAGATTTCTTTTTTGTTTTTTTGCAGGCTTATGGTGTTGAAAATCAGCTCCAAGTTTGAACTCCGTCGTTTTTGCCGTACTACTGGGGCGGTTGCGCTTGTAAGCAAATTGGAACTGTTTCATGATTTATGTTAAAAAATAACACTTAAATTTCTTATAACATTCTTCTTTGATTGTGAAAACAGTTAAAGCTTAGCCAGCCAAATGCAGATGACCTTGGCTATGTTGATTCTGTTTCAGTGGAGGAAATTGGTGGTGTTAGGGTAATTATCTTAGATATTATATTTGCAGTCAGGTTCATCAGTTTAGCTGGGATTAACAGTAAATCTGGTTCCTTAAATATGTAATATAGGTTACAGTTGTGAGAAATGAAGAAGGTGGAAATTCTGTCTCCACTGTTGTGCTGCGGGGAAGCACTGATAGTATCTTGGATGACCTTGAAAGAGCCGTTGATGATGGTGTAAATACATACAAGGTAGCCGAAGTAAAAACATAAAGATTTATCACCTGCTAGCTCTTTTCCTTCGAGGTTCATGCATGCATAATAGTCTGTTGTGATTACTTGTCCCTTCATTGTTGCTTGGAAATAGAATTGGATTTCAGAATTACATTTTGAAACGTGATTACTGTAATTGAGGCATTGACAAATGATGGATAGCTATGATTATGTCCGGTTATAATCTTGAATACTTTGATTGCTCTATGTTTATTTCAGGCAATGTGCAGAGACAGTCGGATTGTACCTGGAGCTGCTGCTACTGAAATTGAGCTGGCTAGCAAGCTGAAAGAATTCTCTTTCAAAGAAACTGGGTATTGTTTTTGTTGCTTTTTCTTCGCATATGAGCTCTCGCCTATCACTGCAGCCCAACTTTTCTGTTGTGTAACTCCATTGCTATTTTCAGGCTGGATCAATATGCAATAGCAAAATTTGCTGAAAGCTTTGAAATGGTTCCTAAAACGCTAGCTGAGAATGCTGGCCTCAATGCAATGGAGATTATATCATCCTTGTATGCTGAACATGCGTCTGGAAATACCAAAGTGGGCCTTAACTTGGAGAAAGGTGCCTGTGAGGATATCTCTGCCTTGAGTATATGGGACCTCTATGTTACCAAGTAAGCTGCTCTTTTCTTGGTGTTTGTTTTCATCTTCCAGTAAAATGTGCTAGAAAGGACCTACGCGAGCACAAAAATCTAGATCTTCTCACTTGTGCTTGTTCAGTTCTATCTTTTGCTTGAATAAATTTCCGCTAGCATGTCTATAGTTGATTCAATAGGACTGGAGTAGCATTCAATTGATTCAATTTTTACTGCTGCAACAAGAGGGAGTGAACTTACAAGCTAACTGAACTTTTCCAGAATGACATATTCCTAATGTTAATGTTCGTACAGTTGTTCTTTTTATAATTATTTGGCAAGTTAATTATATAGCTAGTTTCTAGAAAGACTCTTCTGTCAATTGTGAGCAATCCCCTAGACTTCAAAAGAGTACTCAGATTATTGGTTTAGTTTCAAAAGGCAATTTCGTAGTCGGTGGTGTCCAACCATATGGAAGATTTGCTAAACAGAGGCACTAAAAAGGTGACTTTCTTTCACATGGTGTGAAGTGTGGGATGCCATCTTGATGTTTAGTACTATAGTTGTTATTGTTTGTGTAAGATGCATGGGGTGAATATGGATCATCTTCTACTAGTAGTAGCTGTTCTTCAGAATTACGAAGCCTGATATATTCCATATGTTACAATCACTGGCGCTTCCTAGAGTAATGGCTGAAGCAATGGCAAGCTAGAGGGTGGAAAAAATGGATGCTGAAAACAAAGATATGGACGACTGCTCCATTATGTAACTTTTGGTCGGTATGGAGTTATGCTTTTAAGGATAAGTCTTTTGGTCGGTATGGATAGTAGGAATAGTAGAATTTGAAAGTGTCAAAATTTTATTGTCTATCGTAAAAGCTCTCATTTCGTTTGGTTTTTGTGTAAGGAGGCTGGAGGACACCATTAATGTATTAATGGTTGGTCCGAGAGACTTGATATGTAGTAGTGAAACAACAATGTTATATGGTGATCAGATCTTGGTGTATTATCAATAAAATATATAGTATTGATTTATTAGTTAAAAAAAGTTAAATTGGGTCCTCCCCTTGCACACTAATGTTACTATTCTTATTGTCATTATCACTTTTTGATTTGTTTATTTCCTGACAAACTACTATTTCATGATTATGTATTCTGTACTCTGAGTAAGAGTTCCTTTTTGGTGGATTCATTAGCTTTTTATGCTAATCCCTATTCCCTAATCAGTGTTGTCAAAGGCGCGCTTAAGCCCTGAAGCAAGGCGCAGAACATGATGAGCGCTTCCCCCGCTTTGTATGCGCTTTAGTGTCGCATCAAGGCTCTAAGACATACTTTTCCTTGCCAATGAGTGTAATCCTGAAAAGGCGACATTAAACAATTGATATTTCACTGTATCGTAAAAAAATTCAATTTTTTTGCCCTTATAAAAAACCATATACATATTTTTACTTTTTCTCCAGTTGCGCCTTTTTTCATTAAAGCCCACGCTTTATTTATGCTTTGCGCTTAAAGCCCCAATGGGCCTTAGAGATTTTTTGCGCTTTTGGCCTTTGATAACACTGTCCCTAATGCATCTTGGTCCATTTGAGCAGGTTTTTTGCTCTAAAATACGCTGCTGATGCTGTCTGCACAGTGCTTCGGGTAGACCAGGTATCTTATTGCCCTGTATTAGCTACTCATTTCATGTTTTACTCCTGAGAAGTGCACAATTTTCTTCCACCTTGTGAAAATTTCAACTGTCTTAGTAGTTGGGTTGATACAGATGCATGGAAGAATCTCTGAATAATAGTTAGATTACGATCATCGATGATAGAAAAGGGATAAGAAAGACCTACTATTAAAAACTGATCGACGTTCATATTTGACTACTTGTGCTTTTTTGTTTGCTAATGTAGTTTTTATTCAGTTCTGTTTTAAATTTTGAGTAGGTTTTTAATCATCTATTTTTCGCTGCAGATTATAATGTCAAAACCAGCTGGGGGTCCAAGCAGGAGAGATCAACCGGCAGGGATGGATGAGGATTAATCTTTAGTCTCCGATTTAGGGGTCGGTTTAGTACGGTTTTGAAAGATTTCGGTTCGGTATTTTTTATTTCTGATATTGAAAATGTTATACCAGTACCATACTGACTTGTGTGGTTTGGTTCACTTTTTGGTTTGTGTGGTTCAGTAATTTTGGTTTTACTCTTTAAAGTTATATTGTATTAACCAAACTTGTAATTGTGATTCATGGGACTGATTTTCAAACTCAAGCAAGAAAGACAAATTAAAAGAGAACATATTAAATCAAACAGGTTAATGATGCTTCATTCTAAAACCAGACAATTTTTGTAACCGGAATGTATAAAAGTGAAGAAGTCAGCCTTACAAGTGTCGCTTGTCGAAATTTTATATTAGTGCACTAATTTCATTCCATGTATAGATGTTCTTTATCCGAGCCCGTGGGAAGTTCAAACATATTTTCTACCATTTTTAATAGGAACAATACATAAAACCCTCCCTCTAAATTTTGGTATCTTTTGCGGCTTACACACTTGTATTATTTCGTGTTTGTATTACTCTTTTGAACTTTCTTTGGGTATCTATTACCATCCTGGACTGGAATCTGGTGAGAAGTGATCATCATTCGGCAAATACGTGAATTTTTTGATGGCGGTGTGCATAAATTTGTAAAGCTTACTCTTTCTTCCAAAATCTGATGGGAAGTGTCATATTCTCTTGTCGGAAAAAACCACGTGTAACTCAACCTTATTGATTTAATAAAATACTGTTGCTGCGTAAACTACTAAAATCAAAAGAAAATTATAGGAGGATTAAGTTAGCTTGATTGTTGACATAGTAATTCTTATATTGCTGTAAAAAGCTTACTCGTTTTCTAGTGACTTTGATCGATAAACCCATTTTCATGTAAGCATTTTGGGCAATCATAAGTATGATTTAATCAAGGGGCAAGAAAAAAAGTTATATATGCTGACCTATATTACAATTTACATTGCTAAATTGTTATGTAGCCAAAAAACATTCAGCTTACTATCGGTGGGAAATTATCACACATGATATGTGAAAAGAAAAAAATGAGTAAATTTATGTGCAGTTATGGAGAGTAAACTCCATATTGGAATCGAGATTTTAGAAACATGCGAAGCCTCTCCCATTGAGAAGTCATTGACCCGTAAAATTGCACTCTTACTGCTTTTTTCATTCCTTGCCGAACAAATTCCAAGTCTCTGACAATGTCATATTCGATGCTTTCTGGACTATCAAGCAGTGGCAATGCAACTGAACTATGCGATTCGATGTTCTTGATCCATCCACGCAGCAAAAAATTCACAATCTGCACATGTAATATCATTATATTCAGGGGCGAAACCAAAATCTAGAGTCGATGGATTCAGATCTAGTGTCAGTGTGGTTCCAGAACAAGTGTGATCTTATGTACATGTCTAAATTTTTGCATATGTATACATAGTTTTAGCAGGGTTCGGTGGAACTCACTGAACTTGCTCTTGATTCGTCAATGCTTCTACAGTGTTTCAAAAATGACTTGGATAAGCACTTGTCGGAATTCAGAACTTGGTTTAAGAGGTATGAGGTAAGGGGCTGGGAGAAATGTATAGTACTATATTTCAGTGGCTGAAAAGGAGCAACAACAATTTCTTGTCGTATAACCATAAAATTAATAAATAGGCTTTTAAGCATATGACTCTGAACAAGTCTATATTGCCCACTGACCATTTCTAGTGCGGTCTGTTTCAACGTGGTAGAGCATCCTGAGTAGCAAGGTAAGCTTGTTACCAACCAATGGAGCCCGATGCACTAAGTTTCCGCTGTGCGCGGGGTTGGGGGATGCACCGGACTATATTGGGTCTGTTATGCACCATTGCGTTGCATTTATGCAAGAGACTGTTTTCACAGGACAAAGAAATCCAGATTCAAACTTTTCTTTTGCATTTGACTGACATTCCTCTATCCCTTATTGTTTTATGTGATACTTCGAAGTCCAAATATAACAGTAACCATTCATCTAGTTTGGAGTGGCAAAATGTTTGGATTAAGTCTTGAATTATGTTACTACGTAACAAGTTATGAAGAAAACCTTATGAAGAGATGGTAACAATGAGGAAACATGTTGACAACCAAGATCAAATGTCCAAAGAAGATGTATAGCTTAGTAAGACGGCCTACCTCTGGGACTTCATCATGGGGGCAGTGACCAGCAGGGCTAATCTGATAATATGGAGCTTCAGGCAATTGGCGTTTCACTTGTAGTGCCCAAATAGGCATCACCCAGGGGTCTTCTTTTCCATACATGAGACAAACGGGCACATTGTTCATTCGACACCTAAAAATAGCAAAGGTTGAAGACTTGAGATTTCCAACATTAAGAGAAGCCCAATGCAGTTATGTAATACTTGCTTTACCTACCCATTAAGTGCCTCCTTAAAACTTAGTTGTCCCCTAGGAGCAAACATTATTGAGGTTAAGGATGCAGCTGCTGCAGGGTGTTCTGTTATCTCAAGAATACTGGAGAAAACTTTATCCACTTTTGTGGTATGATCAGCGTAAACTTGTTTAAGCACCTCCGCAATGCTCTCGGGAGCACTAATTTTCTGCCATCTGAAAATGAAGCAAGGGAATAAGTATGAATACTGAACAAAAGCCCTGGTCTTAAATCTAATCAGTATTATAACTGGCAAGAAAAAGATAAACTTCCTCGGTATAAATTAAAAGAGCAAGTCATAGCACTCACACAAGTTCTGTGAGCTTTCTGATAGTGGTGGGAAGAGGAAAAGTCCCAGCCCATGGAAACAATCTAGATAATCTCGGAGATCTAACAGGATTAGGGAGAAATCCCCAAAATGGGGTCGCATTAAGCAAGGTTACACCTTTCACCAATTGAGGGTAGTATGCTGCTAAGTAGAGGGCAACATATCCACCAAGCGAATTTCCCACAACGTAGACTGGCTCTTTAATAACCTGCACCATCAAAAGATTATACGAATTTATTTGTTCCTTATGAGCAAGATTGTTCTAAAAGCAATCCCTCAAGTCTAAATCAATCAATAACTTGGAAGACTTATTAAGAAGCCCATTGCACCATCATAATTAACTGTTTAGTCAAATAATCTTAAGCTTCCCTGAAGATTCAGTTGTGTCTAATAACATAATGCTGTAAGAACAGGAAAAAGAGCATCGGAGAAACATTACACGTGAAGATCAACTATAAGATATCTTCCAAAGAATAGAGAACAAACAGCATAGTGTTATACAATAAGACATACCTACCTTGAGTCTGAGATCATATAAGCATTAGGTAAAGTTATAGCCATGCAATTATACATAAGTCAAACAAAAAACATACTAAAGTTCCAAGGGATGGAAGTCTGCTATAATGTAGCATACTGTCATTGACTGCATCAATAGCGTGCTCGTAAACCTTCTACAAATGTTTATAAGTTCATCTTTCTACGAAGAATACTAGACACATGACCCGAAATAGAACAGGTAATTAATAGAAAGAACACACAAGTTAAAAGCCAGCAATACATCGATACAATTGCTTAAGTCTGCGCAATAACCACTTAGAGGAAAATCATAAGGACAAAGATAGAAACGGTACCTCTTCAATAAAATAACGTACTTGGTCCCTCCATAAGTCAACAGAATAGACAAGTTCTTTTGCCCAAGGTTCTGCTTCATCTCCAAAACCCCAGACGACACTGTTTCCATCAGGTTCAGATTCATCTAATCTTTTGGACTGCAAAGTTGGATCCTCGCATGGTAATGACTTCCCTTGTCCAAGAAAATCTAATGCCCATACTCTGTGATCACGACCAAGATCTTTTAATTGCTTTTCATAGTGAAAGGAGCCAACACCAAAACCAGGAAGAAAAAGTATTGGTGCGGAGTTAACATTTTGACAACCAGATTTCTCATAATGAACTTTCAGTTTGGGTTTCCATTCCCACAAGCAGCTATCGACCACAGCAACAGAGTCGGCTTTAGTTTCATCAGGTAAACTGGGAACGATAACCTTTGTTACTGATTTAGCACTACCAGTCACATCTTGGGTACCGACTTTCCCATCTATAATATCTGAGTTATAGCTTTCACTCAAGAGACTTGAGTCGACACTGTCAAATCCTTTCAGAGCAGTGATAGTAAGCCTCTGAGTCCTCTTTTTCTTTATGCTATAAACATCTAAACCAGAATACAACCTTCTTTCTTTTACTATGGGAAACTTTGCCTGATTTGAAATTAGACATTTGCTAACATTTACAATGCAATAATAGGTTGTAGAATAGCAAGAATGAACTTCCATCTTGGAGTCAGCTTTCTAAAATGAATACCTGAAATCAAGAATGTATCGAAAAACAAAGCCCTTAGTTTATTATCAAAGAATAAGCTAAAAAGTACAGGATAGTAATGCAATCAACTCAAAGAAAAGGACTATAGGATGTCAGTAATTTACTTCTTCACATGTAATTATCACTTGAAAGAGCTCAATTAGTCAGGCTATATGATCAATCAACTAAGACCGGGTTCTTTTACTACTCAAGCAAATTCTACTTCCTTTTTTCTTAACTAAAACTCGTTTCGTCTAACTACAACATCGTCCAAATAAAAGCTTGGATTCATCCATCTGGGTATAAATCAAATCAGCCTGATCTAGAAAACCAAAAACCTGAGCAAATATTGCTATAATTTCTCCTTCTACTACAAGTACGATAACTGAAAATATTATCAATATTTCACTTGTGCAATATTGCTAGATTTAGAGAGAAGCAGATCATACAGAATAACTAACAGGAATAACTTACTTGGAAATTGACAAACCAAAAAGACCAGTTTTTCATAATTCTTTTGGTAATAAGGAAACACAAAGAAAACATAAAAGCCAAATTAATGAACTTAAACATCAAGGAATTAGAAAATCAATCTTATTATTACACAAAGCTCAATTATTAGTAATCACAAAAAAGGAAAATATAAACAGAACTTAACTTTTAGTTGCATAAAATATTACTACCTTTAATCAGCTACGCGAGATAATTGATCAGCAGAATCTCCACGAAGAATATGGGGTTTGGACATTCCCTTTTTCTCTTTTTTAATATTCAGTTGGCGGACTATTCGTTAATTATATATGTATTCTACAAGACTCCACACAATAAGAGATTGCTTAAAAACACGGCATCTCTTTAGAAACCAAGAAAATTGCGATAAATGACACTTTAACACGCTTGTACATGATTATAACAGAAAATTTGTTATCCCTAAATAACACTCCCTCCGGTTTAACTTTAATTAATTTTTTGGTCTTTTTTTCGTGGTCAATAATATTTAATTTTTTTCACCTTCAGAATTGTCTTTAGAGTGAAGAGCCTAGGGGCATTTGCTATATTTTCAATGAATAAACTAAAGCTAATATGATCAATTTTATTGTTAATTAACCTAAAAGGTGGATTCCTTAATATGTGCAAAAATAGCTAAAAATCAATTAAAGTGGACTGGAGGGAGTACTCCCTACTAATGTATATTTTATTATGCAAGGAATAATAATGCAAAATATAATACACCAACTAAGCTCCCGTTGGACATAGATTTTGGTTATTATTATTGAAAACATTATTTGTTCATATAATTTGATCAATTTTTGAAAAAGGATTGAAGAAAAGTTTTCAAGTTCCTAAAACTGGTTTGGGCCAATTTTGGGAGAATTTTTTTTGGCTCACAAAACTTTAATAATTGTTCAAGTAAAATGCATGTCAAAATATAATTTCAAATTTCCAAAAATTATTTTTCAATGTAACTTTTTAATTTTTATTTTTTCAAATTTCAACTAAATTTATGTCTAAACGCTAGCTAAGCCTCGATCTAAAACAAGTTGGAATATGAAAAGTATTGCAAACATATTACGAAAGATATTACTTTACTTGTATATCAGAGACTAAATATTGTATTACTGGTATAAAAATTTAGATTAAAATGCAAAATTCAGTAGGTGGGAAAGGAAAAAAAGGAAAAGAATGGAGTACACGAAACGAATTAGTGTAGCCAATTGGGCCACCACGTGATCCGGTGTTCAAAGTTGATTGGATTTTGGTATATTTGTCTGCATGCATGGTGGGAGCAACATAAATGTGGAAAATTCAAAGGCAGATCTAGTGAGAATGAGGCTATGAAGAGTGAAATTAGATGGACCATTAAAAAAATATCCAAAAAAACACCTCGTTTATTTCATGTATCTTATTTTAGACCGACAATAATTTCTTTATCTTCCAACCTTTACAAAAGTCTTGAAAATATTGCTAAAAAATCAAGGAGACTTCTTGTGGATGATTATGATTATGTTAAAAAAATTCTTGAAAAAGTATTTAATGAACAGTTAAATCCAACCGACTATTTATGTAAAGATCCCATGTTAAGACTTACGTATTTGAATGTATAGTAATGGTAGTAAGTTGGGATGTTATCATTTTAGTCTGTGTCAGAAACTATTTATATTCGTTACTCAAAAACTTATATAAAATCTTTATAATTTTTGTATATAAGATACAAAATGTATATATACAAAAAAATATATACTTTTCGACTATTATTTTGAGCGCGCAATGTAATTTTCCCTAGTAAATTTAGCATTTAGGAAAGTTGTGCTAACTTAGCCTTAATCAGAATTGCATGCTTGCAGCCCAAAGCTATGGCTAGGCCGTAAATAGGCATTTCGTAACAGGTCTTGGACTTGACTAGATTAGTTTAGTTCTTTGTTTTTTTGGCAGAGTCGTGTTTTGTTTAACCGTATCAAATGTTTTAATATAAGAGAATGTCGTGTTTTTACTTTAATGTTTTAAAAATGAGGATGTATCGATTAACTATAAATTGTGGTAATTAGTTAGCAAATGCTGATGCTTGATTATGAATAGAATGGAGTTCGTGAGTAAACGTTGCTGAAACGGTGGAGAATGTGAACATATTCTAAAGGAATTTTTACCTCCTATAGCAAATGTTGATACCTTATTTATTTTAAATAATTACCCTTTTAAAAAATTATATTTCATAGCTATCTTTTGATTTTTATAGCCAAATATCTATTTATGGCCACCTTCTATCCTTAAGCCATAACATACGCTTTGTATTATTTTTCTCTCTCATTCTTTCAAATTTTTCTCCACCCTTTCTCTCTCAACTCCAGTCTTTCTCCATGAAATTTTCTCTTGGTTTAACGAATCAGATCTCATGGGTACTACAAGTTGACATTGATCCTAAGGATGCAAAAATCGAACAAATGTCTAGGGACGAAACCAATAAATTTGGTCTACTTTCTTGGGAATTCGTCCGTCGCCATGGGCTGCACCTATTCGGCACAACTTCCACATGGTTCTTGTTGGACATTGCTTTCTATAGCCAGAATCTATTCCAGAAAGATGTGTTCAGCGCAATTGGATGGATACCAGCAGCCAAAACCATGAATACCGTTCAAGAAGTTTACAAGATTGCAAGAGCACAAACCTTGATTGCACTACTTAGTACAGTACCAGGGTACTGGTTCACCGTGGCATTCATCGATGTAGTTGGAAGGTTCGCGATCCAATTGATCGATATACTTCGGATACAAGATTCGTAGAAGAAATACTTCTGTTAATATATTTCAATGTATTTCAATGTATCTCTCTATATTTCATTGTATTTACTGTCTTTTCTTTCATTGTATTTCAATGTATCTCGCTCTATTCTATGTATTTTCATTGTATTCATTGTCTTTTTTTTCATTGTATTTCAATGCATCACGCTGTATTTTATGTATTTCATTGTATTCACTGTCTCGCTATATTTCATGAATGTATTCATATATTTTTTTAATCAATATAATTTATATATTCAGATGTATTATATAATTTCTCTAAAGATTGCTATGTTTTTGGGGTGTTTTTCGGTTGAGAATCTTTTTTATAACTGGAAATACAAAATTTATGTGTTATAATTGAGTTGTTGAGTTATATTAGGAGCCTATTATGTTAATTGATTCACTTTTCGTTTAAAAATAGTGTAATTCCCTGTTTCACGCCGTGAATACAGTCGAATGCAATAATCTGTCAAGCTGTAATCCCTTGTTTTACGCCATGAATACAGTCGAGTACACTCGAATACAAAAATCTGTGTAGCTGCAATCCCCTGTTTTACGCCTAGAAATGCTACTGTATTCATAATACATCGAATACACTCTAAAAATCTGAAAACATAGCTATAGGAAGTAATATAGTAAATGATAGCTACAACTAGCTAATAACCACTAAAACATAGTGGTTTCTGTAAGTTTCTCTATTTTAAATCCCTGTTGCACGATTTTATCTCTTGAGAATTGGCTACGGTGTAAAAGGGGGCAAGTGCACAATATGCTATTTAGAGATTAACACTTATTTTGTCCTGAAATTTTAAACTATAAATTTTAAGTTAAGGACAAGTAAGGACATTTTTGTCCCAAAAATTTAAACTGAAAAAATGAAATTCAAAATGTACTGGCTAACTCCTAAATAGTAACCCTTTAGAGTGGGTACATGGTGTCATTTATACCTAAAAAATATGGATCCAATCTAGATGGATTTGAACCATGAAAAGCCTAGATTGGGTTGTTGTACAATGGGCAATTGCATATTATGGGCCAAACCAAAGGGACTCCCAAGTACATTGGGCCACAGCGTCCAAGAAAAAGGCTCCATCCGCAAATTTGAACAATATTTGGTTTATGTTTGAAAGAAAAGTAAGTAATTGTACTTAAAATTGAAAAATACTACTCCTGCATTGAAACTTTAGAGACAATCCGCCTGTGGCAATCAGTTAGCCGGTGTATTTAGCTGTCAAAGCTGGCCAGCTCAACTTACTCAATTTTTCGTTAATTAAAACATGTATTTCCGATACTCAGATAACGTTAATCTTTGATTGTATAAATAAAATCACCTCTTGGAATTAGTCGTCATCTTCTACCCTACCAATCTTACAGGACTACTAGCTTTTCAAGAATTTTATATACTGTTAAGAGGATAATTATCAATAGTAAAACTAAAATCGGGCGAATGTAATATAGTAAGCGGGGAAAAGTTTTCATAAGAGTCATAATTAGACAAATGATTGTTATTTTTCTAAATGTTTCATCATTCATGTTGTACCGGTGCGGAGCTAAGGCATATGGTAATTTCTCGAAAAAACTGTATTGTTATATAAGGTTAAAATTATTTTTTACAAATATATAATACACGATCTTTTTTTTTTTTTTTTTACTTCGGCCACA